GGAGCGGTGGACGGGGCGTAGATGGGGAGTGGGCGGGGCAAAGGGGTGACGGGGACTACGGGGCCGGGCGGAGAGCGCGTGGCACGGCGAGGGGCTGGGCGGGCGCAGCGCCGCAAGCCTGTGATGCTTGGCATGCAGCAGGCCGCTGCGGCAGAGGGCCCTGAGGGGACTGAGTCCATCGCCTCACGCGCCATGCGGCTCTGAAAAGAGTGCGCATGGGGAAGTGTGCAGTGCGCGGGGCGCCTCACTGCTTGATGCAGCCCTGCTTGACAGATGCCGTCACCAGGTATGGGTGCTTGGCCTCCAGCGCCTGATGGTGAGGGGGGGGGGCACGGGAGGGGGATGGCGACAGGTGGAGGAGCTGTTTGGGCACCTGTTGGGGGCGAGAGGGGCAAGGCGCAGCACACCACCAGGGCTGTGGACTGCAGGGCCCATGCCCTGCGCCTGTTGGCGACCCGCACAGCCACTCGCAAATCACAGACCTGCGGAGCCGCGTCCCTGGACCTCAAAACCGAGCGCTGTAAGCCGCGATGCCTGCGCAGGCCCTCGAAACCCTGGAGCGTTGCCCTCGTCCTTTTCCCCATGTGTACCGTTCCATGCGAACCCCCCTGGTGGCCCCACCCCAGCCCCCCACCTCGAACCCGTCCTTGAAGTATCCGAGGGAGGCGCAGCGCCCCTCCTTGGACAGGAAGGCCAACACGGGGTGCTCCTTGGACAGCCCCGCGGGGCCGTAGGCAATGACGGGGCGGCCCCACCTGCGTGGTGCAAGCGCAGGCGGCGCCTGTGAGTTTGTGGTGCGCCACAGGCAACCGGCCAGTATGCGCGGGCCGGCGTCGCTGCTGGGTCCATGGCTGCCGCCCCTGGTTGACCAACACCGCCACCACCACCCCTTGCCTCCTCCTGCTGCTGGTTCAGGTGTCCACACTCACTAGCCTCCCATGCGATGCCTTGGGGCGGACAGAGCGCCTCCCGCGCACTCAACGATCCACATTCAGCCGCCCGTGTGCACTTCCGGCCTGCCCAATATCAGTTCGGACCCACCAGCAGTCCTGACTCCACGTGACGTCATACGAGGCCTGGGAGTAGTCCAGCAGCGCGCGCCCGTCCGCGCTCAGCCGCACACAGAATGAGTGCAGCACGTGGCCGCGCTTAAATTGCTTCAAAGGGCGCACCTGGGCGACATTGTAACAGCGGGTGTGCATGCGCATGTGCACGTGACGGGATGGGTCGAGTGAGTGTGAACAGTAGCAACTGGCCCCTCGTTTGCATGTAGCTGCTGCAAGCAGGCGAGCGCAGGTGGAACCCTCATGGCCCTCATGCATTAGCTGCAGTTGTCAGGCGGAGCTCTGGTGTCCACGGCCATGGCCCCGCTCACGTCCAGGATCAGGACCCGGGGGTCGTTGGGGCAGGCCGTGAACACGCGGAACAGCGCGCCCGCGTCCACCGCCTTAGCGGCGGCCATAGCGCCTGCTTTCGGTGAGTGGAAGGCCAGGCGACACTTCCTTCAGCCGCTGGCCCGTGCACAAATTGGAAGCCGCGTCGACGTGGAGTCAGCTGTGTCTGGAGGCTGTCTGCAGGCTGCTGCGCGGCGGTGCCCGCGCAATTCGCGCCTCAGCAGGCGCGCTGGCAAAGCAGGGCCGGAAGTGAATGTCAAAGCTGCAGGCTCGTCCAGGTCAATATGCACAAAAATGGAAATAGCTCAATGGCCCTTAGAGCTATAACCTAGAGGTGATTGGGCATTGTTGGTATCCGCAGATCAATCCGACGATCTCGACGTATATGTGAGAAAGCTTCGAGGGCGAAGTATGTATGCGACTAGTGGTCAGCAGCTGGTTGCATGCGACAATTGCGCCAAGCCAACTAGCGGGCGGCACTAATGAGTCGACGGTTGCGAAGTGCTGCCGTGCACACACGCAGCAGCCGTGTATGTTTGTGTGCGCATGCGTGCGTGCGTGCGAGCGTGCGCGCGCTCATCCCACGCTCCCCTTGACCCTTGGCTTGACGGGTAGGCATGATAACAACTGACAGATGGCTCCAACCGCCGGTGTTATGGCCGAGACAGGTAATCAAGGCAAAGAGTAATGCTGAGTCGCCTGCGCTCTGGCAAGCTGAGTCGCCTGCGCTCTTCGGCCGTTATTGTAGGTGAGTAACGCCTGTGACCAACATGACGTTCCGAGTGAAGTCAAAGTAGCAAGTGTCGAGCCCTCCAGGCCTGCAGGCGGGGTGTTACTGTGTGTGCTGTGTGTGTACCAGACCTCTTGGACCTTTGGTCTAGAAAAATCTCCTGGCAAGGACTTTGCAGCTATTGTAATAAGGGGCCATTGCCGCTTGCAACTACACCATAAATTTTGTCAACAGTTGTTCAGTCCTCACTCTTGGAGGTGCCATACTCCCCAGCTTCCTGCTTGATTTCCGGGCAGTGCGGGTGTGGCACAGAGCCGCATGCAGCTGGGTTGCGGCCTGACAAGCTAACGGTTTACTCCACGAAGCGTCCAGAACTTTTTGCGGTGGCCGGTAATAGTGCGCACTACTCAGCTGCCGGGAGGTAGTGTTGCATCAGTGGGAATGTGAGGACTGGAGGGTGGAGGCTGCCAATCGAGGGTTGAAACTTAGGTATGGAAAACCACAGACGAAGGGCTAGGGGGTGTTGCAAAGAACAAGGAGATCATGAGGGGCGGACGTCTGAGATGAGGGGTCGCGGTGTTTAGATGCCTGGGAGTGTGGGAGATGCGTGCCGCACTGTGCTGCGTAGGGGCGTGGCTTCCGCCAAGGGTGCGCGGACAGGTGCCAGTGCAGAGATGCGGAGTAGGAGCACCCGACCCACTCCAGCAGGACCCAAATGATTTGGAGGGTGGTTCCAGACCTCGAGCGAGCCCCTGACAGCCCGCCCCAAGTGCACGTGCACGCACGCACACACCCACGCACAAACGCACGTGCTGTACGCATAAATGCACATGCACAGCGCATGCCTGTTGTATTGACCACCATCTTCACTGCATGATTGGCGTTGTAAGTGCATTACATGATTGAATAATTTGAGGTTTGCCCTCATGTACCATTGCAAATGTACTGCAAATGCAAATGTACTGCAGTCAAAGGCGATCTGGGCAGCCAACCGTTACGATTGACTTGGCCTCCCTGCTTCCGGTGCAATGGGATAAAATTATATTCATTACTTTTCGAAGCCTCGTGTCTACTTCGTGTTGTGACAGCGAACGTCACACCCATGGGACCTTGCGCAACTGCTTTATGGTAGTATTCGCTTGTTCGACTGACAACTACTTTCACTAAATCGCGCTTTGGTGACAGCATTACATGGCAGACGCTGCGCCCTCCGCGATACGCCCACCGAGCGGTGATCAGCAGCAGCAGCAGCAGCAGCAGCAGCAGCAGCAGCAGCAGCAGCAGCAGCAGGAGGACGAGGAGGAGAAGCAGCAGGAGGAGCATACGCCACAGGAACAGCCCGGAGAGCCACCATCTGTGAATCAAGCAGCAGATGGGCCGCAGGATGGGCCGGTCTCAGGGGAGGACGGCGGCGCTGCCAGCAGCGGCTTGGGGGTAGAGGAGGAAGAGCGACGCCAGGAGGAGGCGCGTGCGGCGGCGCTGGCGACAAGACCATTTGCAGAGCAGATTGCAGAGGTTGCTGGAAACCTGAAGGTGCGTACTTACATGCATTCATCAAAACACTCTTTGTGCCCTTCACGCCAAGGCTCTGTACACGACCCCACGGCCATGACGCAGGGTCTTCACTGCTGAGCAACCGCACACGGCAACCCCTGTCAGACCACGCACCTGCATTTGACCGAATCGCCAGCAAAACCGCCTCAATAAACGTCGCCGCCGCAATAATGTGTACTGTGGACGGTCGCCCACACAAACCACTCAGCTCAAGTCTCAGTCCTGCCAGGCGGCCAAGTACCTGCTGCGCCTCCTGGACAGCCGCCCCCAGGAGGTGGCGGCCTACCTGGCCATCGTCGAGCTGCTGAGCCGCCTCATCGCCGACGGACCCGCACTGCCGGCAGCGGGCGCCGCCATGACGGCGTTGGCGCGGCTGTGCTTGGCGCCAGAGGGGCGGGCGCGCGTGCGGGCAGAGGCGGGGCTCGTGCCTGTCATCAGGTGGGCTGGGGTCTGGGTCTGTCGAGGACCTGGGGCGGGGCCCGCCGCTGTACACAACTCATCCAAAGTTTTCATGCGAGTGCACGTCAAGTACCGGCTCCCTGGCTTGTCGCTACAAGGCACGCAGAGCACGCATGTGCGTGTACCATGGTTCGTTTCTGGTGATGCGATGCGATGCCTCCAGGGCGAGCGGGTCGCCACCCAAACCCTGACCCAGACGACTGCGCCCCTGCAGGTATGTGGCAGTGGCGGAGCCCGACAGGGCGGCCAACGCGGAGGCGGCGGCGCTGCTGCTGGCCAACGTGGCGGGCGACAAGCTGGCGCGCCGCGCGCTGGTCGCTGCTGGCGCGCTGGAAGCGCTGGTTGCGCTGCTGCAGGTGCGTCGCGTGCATGGTGCGAACGCCACTGCTCGCTGAACACCCTGTCCCTGGGGTCCCCTGCAGGCTTCACACGTGCAGGCTGGAATGAGCTGGGAATTGTTTCCGGCTGGGGATTAGCTTGATGGACCATAATGATGTCTCGCCCAAGATTTCGCTTGCAAGGCCACCAGCAGTGGCAATCACTGGACTAGGAGACCTCAGGCTTCGCGGTGTGCTTGCACCACATGCTTACAATCTCAGAGAACGAAGAGTCACGACAGCGCCTTGTCTGCGTACGTCGCCGGCGCGCTCATGGTACTGCTGAGCGACGGTGCTGCCGCGGCGCAGCAGCGGTTTGTGGACTGCGGCGGTATAGAGGCGGCCTGCAAGGTGCGCAACACATGGTTGTCAGTGGTGTGGCTGATGGTCGATTGTCAGTGGTGTGACGCGCTGCCGACCCCGCTCTCTGTCCTGTTGTCAAGGCACTGGAAGACAAAGACTCCCGTACTGCCCAACCCAACAGTCGTTGCGGACACCTCCAAACCTCTTGCAGGCCTTGGCCGAGCGCCCCCGCAGCGACGCCGGCCGCAGCACGCTGCGCCTGCGCCTCCTGCTGGCGGAGCTGTGCCACGCCAACAAATCGTGGGAGACGCAGTGCCAGCAGGCAGCCCTGGACTCGGCGCCCAGCGTGCTGCTTTCAGCGCAAATGGGTGCAGGTCCTGCCCCCAAAGGCGTTGCTGCGGGAGGCGGGTGAACGCGCCAGGCAGTGAGCAATGCGTGATGGCCTCCCGGAACTTGTCATTGCAGGATTGATTGAGACTTGCTCCAGCAGCAGCGCCATTTCTGCACTCCGCGGGCACGTGCCTGCGAGCACTTGCGCAAGCACGCAGCTGAGCAGCGGTAGTAACACCCCCCCAAGCCCCAACCTCCCAGCTGCCCAAGACCATGGACCAGCCGGGGCGCGTTCGATGGATCTATGTATGAATTTATTTATGGTTATCAGCGTAAGCTATACCAGCAGGTTGCGAAGAACGCGTCCTCCGAAGGCAGCAGTAGGCGATTGTCGCGGACGGGCTGCACCGCAGCCAACGATAGCAGCATAACTCAGAATTGTTTGCAAAATAAGATTGAAATACACAAGTTTCGGGGGCTATAGCCCCGCTTGTCGCGAGCCTGCCCAGTCGCAAAGATGATGGGGCGACAAGAGCGCGCTATCGTGGTCGCTTTAGCAGCGCTGGTTATGCTCACTGCATTTGGTGAGCGGGTGCCAGGATGGCTACCCCCGCGCATGGCGTTGCGCTGCTGTGCTGTGCTGCTGTGAGCGGGCGGAGGTGGCGCTTGGGGATGGATTGCAGGATGGCGCATACCTCGACGCAAGCAGCCACATGCTGTTGATAGGAGACCCGCTGCTGCCCTCCCTTGCCGCATGTCACCTACAGACTGCGTTGGCGCCCGGTTCCAGCCACACCACAGGCAGCTGCTAGGCCCCAAAGTCAACTTGGGAGAGCAGGGCACCGCCAGCGCTGACCATACAAAGAATGCAACCAAACCCTTTAATATTTCGGACGTGCATTTGAACATAAGCATCAACCCCAGGGAGATGGCGGACCTGCTCAAGGTGGGTCAGCATGACAGAAGTGCTGGGCGGGGCGGCACGCGCACACACTGCGGGCAGCGTGCCACAGAACGCAGAGGGCGGCGAGCCAAGCACGAGTGGTTGAACAAGGGCAGGCTGCTTGGCTGGCGCAGCCCGCGATGGGCGCACAAGCTGAGAAGGCGCTGCAGCAGCACAGGGCAGCGGTTCTGATGGTCTGCAGGTTTGTAACAGCGGCTTTGCGCTCTACACCACCCCACGACTGCGGCAAAGGGCGGCAGGCGCGACGTGTCTGCCAAACTCCCGACCCAACCCTGCGTCCCCGAGCCTTTGCTTCCGCTCCGCACCCCTCCAGGCGTTCTTCCGCGGCACGCTGAGCAACAACACTGCAGAGGCCACCACCCCCGACGACAGCTACTCGTCCACCATGTCTGGGGCCATCTCGCTCAACCCGTTCCTGTCGGGCACCTCCCTGGCGAACAGCCTCGCGCTGTCGGGGCGCAACGGCACCTCTGACGCCAAGGGCATTGTGATCGGCCTCATCGGCTCGGGCAAGGTCTCGAGCGAGGCCACGGCGCTGGGCAAGAATTATGCGCAGTCAAACGTGGAGGGCGTGTCGTTCAACGGGATGGGGCCGCAGCACACGGTCAGCAGCAACCTGGCGTTCACCGCCGGATCGGCCAAAACAGGGGTGAAGTCGGCGGCGCTGACGGCGGTGGGGCCGACGATCACGGCAGGAATCTCCAACGCGATCGGCGTCAAGTCGGCGACGTCTGACGCCAAAGCTTCGTCCAACACGGGGCTGGGGTTCTCGGCCAGCAGCGTCTTCTCCAACGCGCTGACCGCGGGCACCGCAAACTCGACAGCGGGCTTGCTGTCGACGGTGGTGTTGGGGCCGGCGTCGGGCAGCAGTGGGGCGCTGGGGACGAGCTTCCAAGGGGACGCCGCGGCAAGCTCGAAGGTCAAGTCACTGTCAGGTTGGTGACTTGTGCTTGTACACATGCGCATGCGTGCACATGGGTGTGTGCTTGTGGTCTGCAAGCGTATGTACGTGCAGGTGTGCGTGCACGTGTGCGTGCGCGTGTGCGTGTGCGTGTGCGTGTGCGTGTGCGTGTGCGTGAACGTGTGCGCTTGCGTGTGCGCTTGCGTGTACGTGCGCGTGTGCGTGTGCGTGTATGTGTGGGCATGCGTTTGCACGTGCGCGAGCGCGTGCGTATGCAGGTGCGTGCGTGCGTGCGTGTCTGTGGGCATGTGCAGCTTGGCAAGCAATACAATAATCACGTGTGCGGTGGGGAGCGTGAGGGGCTGCTTGCCGGCTCTCAACACATTGCGCCGCGCGTGCGCCAATGGGCGCTTTGCATTCTGGCTGCCGACCCAGGGCGCTGCGCTGCATGATCAGCAACGACCGCCGTCATCGGCGCCACCTGCGGGGCACATGGCAGCCCCTACATCCACACAGGACCCAACACCGCCCTCCTCGCGTCGCACGCCCCCGCCCCACTCCCCCAAAGGCTACGGCAGCAGCACCTCCAAGTCGGGCGCCGTCTCCACCGGCCGCGACGCCTCGGACGCCGCGGCCGGCACCAACGCGACCGCGGTCTACGGCACCGCGGACGCCGGGTCGGGGTCGCTGGCCACGGGGACCTACGCCAGCTCGGGCGCCGACTCCCTGGCCTACTCCTGGAACGGCTCCGCCCACGCCTCCTCCTCCGCCGCCTCGCTGGGCGCGACCAGCGCGTCCACCGCGACCAACGCGACGGCGCGGTCGAATGATGGCCGGAAGACGGCGCACAGCAGCAGCTCGTCCCTGGCCGGCACCGCGCGCTCGGGGCTGTTCGGCTTCTCGCTCCTGCCGGCCCTGCCGCACTTCGCCCCCTTCCAGCCGTTCAAGGGCGGCGCCGCGCTGTCAATCCTCACGGGCGCCTTCGTCAAGAGCGTCGGCCTCAAGGCCCTGCTGCCGGCGGTCCCCAAGATCCACCCGGGCTTCGCCTCCGACGAGCCCATCTTCGAGCAGGCCGTCGCGCCCACCAACCAGACGGCGGCGCCGCCGTGCGAGGTCAACTGCACGCAGGACGCGAACAACGGCACGGGCAGCAACACCTCCGCCACGTTTGACGCGCTCAGCGGCATTTTCGGGGACCTCATGGACAAGAACAAGCGCTTCCTGGCCAAGAACACGCCCCCTCCGCCGCCCGGCGCGTACGACGGGAACCTGGCCGGCCCGCCCGCTCCCCCGGCCAAGAAGTCTGCGCGCGTGCAGATCCCCATCATCAAGCACCGATCGTCGCCGTCGCCGTCGCCGTCGCCCAGGCCGGGGGCGAAGAAGCCTGTCGCGGCGCCGCCGCAGCAGGCCGCTGGCCGCTGACCGCGGGGCCCCAGGCGGGCGCTTGGCTGGCGCGCAGACGCGCGCGGCGGGTGCTCGCTGCGGGCGGTTGCGGGGCTCCAGTGGTCCTTTCATCCGTGTGCTGTGTGGCTGGGTCGGTTGACCCGTGCGAGCGCCCATCATTGTAGCACTGCAGCAAAGCTGACCCCGTTGCCAGCCCTTGCCATGTTCTGTCCTGAGTGCACATTCCTTCATACGTTCACGACGCACGCTTCGCCCGCTGCATCTTGCAGCACAGGCAGCAGGGAATGCTAGGCCTGATTGATTGATCAATTTTGAACGTTGCTCAATTAGTTTGTTTGATTTCTACTGCCCTGATCCCTCAATGTCGTCTGCTTTCAGACTAGCTGCCATGCTGATTCGTTGTGGTGTTACCAGATGATCCATTGGAAAGGTCGACCGGCGGCCTCAGATATTTACACTGCAGCTATGGCGGGG